TTTTATTTGAAATTTATGTTTATTTTTATGCTATCAATAACAAATCAAAACACAAATAGAATTATTAACTTTTTGCAAACAAGTACTTTCTTAATTCTGATTCTTGGTGAAAATATTTGTAATATTAGCAATAAGAATGTGTATTGTTTTATAAAGATTATATTGGTAATAATTGAAGACAATAGTTCTAAGGAATAATTTGCATCGGGTTTTCAACAAAAAGCGAACAAAGGGCAATTTAGACTAAATTTTGTATAATAATTGGTCCATAAATAACGAGAAGAATAATATATATATCGTTTATTATATTCTTTTTTATCTTAGACAAAATCAATGCTATCATTTTTTTTTTTTTGGTTCCAATTTCTTTGACATTTCAATCAAAAGCAGATCAAGATATTTTGCTTCCATTTCTTTTTATATAAATTAGTCAACGTTTGAATCTTGAAAATATTTCTAAATTAGAAATATTTTTTAAGAATAATGTAAAGTTGTAAATATAATGCAATGCTATTTTCATTTCTCAAATATAAAAAGACATGTGAAATGGAATTTAGCAATAATGTTAAATATTTAATAGTATATTACTTTTAGGATACGATTTAATAAAAATATAAATCTTTCAATCTGCGTATCATACATTAATAAATTAGTAGATTGGAATATTAACAAATTTTATATTATAAAAATTATTTATTAAAATGTACAAAAGAATAATAAATTTCCATATGTAGAGATGTAATAAACAAGTACAAATTAACAATTAAAAATTTATTTTTTCTCTAACAATTTATCTATTCTATCTAATCTTTCTACTTCCATTTGGAATGCTTTTTTCCAATATTCTATAGTCAAAGTATTAAATCCATGTGACAAAGACAATAATCTAGCTAATACCATTAATAAATGTAAATGATCAGCATTTTTGTTTCTTCGTTTCCATTGTGTGAAATCATTCTGAATTTCCTAGAAAAGAAAAAAAAATGAACAATGTCAACATGTACATGATTATTATTATAGTACTGTAACAATATGTTGATCAATTTTAATCTATAAATGTGAATTACTGATACAATATTCATATAAAAAAATAATTTGGATAAGACTTTGGTTACATACAAAGTTGTAACTTATTGTCAATAACTGTATGGTGTGTTTCATAAATTTGATTCGAGGCTCTATATGTGGCCGAAGTTTAAAAAATGTTAAAAATTAATTAAAATTAATTTAAAATATATCAACTTTAATTTTATATAATATATAAGCGGTGTTCTTTCATATAATAGATTTTACAAAATTAAAGTAAAAATATCTAAGACATAAATAAGTTGATACATTTTTATAGGGAATGCGGAGATGAATCAATTAGTGTACCAAAATATTATAAAATTCCATTTAAAAAAATGAAGTTGATCTTTGTATTTACTTTACGTCCAGTTTAAAAATTAACATTAAATTATTTTCTCCTTGCAACTGAACAGTTTCTTCAGATTCACTTTCAGAAATAATTGCATTTATAGATTAAAATGGAGCATCTTATACAGAATTTGTTTCTTGAAAACTAAATTTTGAACGAAAAAAAATTATTCTTTCTTACTTATTCTCGTATGTAAAATCATTCGATTGTACCACAAGAAGGATACTTTAAATAATATTTATATTATTATATTATATTATTTAATAGTATTTATATGATTTATACTATACTACATATTATACCATATACTATGATATAATATAATGCTACACGTTTGTACTATGTTATATTATATTATAGATACATATATATTAAATATTTGAAGTAATATCAAATACCTTAATAACATCTTCATCATTAAATTCGAATTTCGTATCTCGTATAAATTTTAAATATTGTCGAATATTTGTCAATCGATTTTCATCTTTCAAACATTGTTCAGCAATTTCTATTATTTGAGGATAAATGCTTTCTGATTCTGAATCTATTTTTAGAACAATTTGAGTTTGACACTAAAATAAATGTAAATTATTTACTATTTATAAATGTAAATAAATATAAAATGTTTCTAATATAAATTTTTTCATACAGGAATAAAAGATTTAGCTTTTGATAAAATTAAAATTGGAATATCCGTATCATATTCTATTTTATAAAATTTAAAATCATATATAACTTTCTGAAAGTTAACCAAATCACAAATTGCATTGTAATTTTCTCGTCCAGTTTGCGTAATTTGACCAGTAGTTAATCCTGTTTCATCTATTACGAGATGTGTATTTTCACTAAGTTGAAGTATTCCACTAGTTAACCTATTACACTCGTAATCTTTCCTAGCGATAAAAATCCGTACATTTAAAATTATATAGTAAGGTAATTCTTTCAGAAAAAAAAGTGCATTTAATGAAATTTGTATACTTACTTTGGCAACAATGTCAAATTGTTCAAATTTTCTAAAGTAATTTCCAATAAGTAACTTTTCTCAATGAGCAAAGATAAAAATTTATATAAGTCCTTTGGAAATTCCTTGTATTTAGTAAGGAAGTGTGTTATATTTAGTGGATAAGTACCAAGACAAAAGTAATCCCTCTTCATGTAACTAAAATTAAAGCAACAAAATTTAAAAATAGTTTGTAGTCAATTTGTTCATGAAACAAGAAAACATTAAATATGTTACATTGATGAAAGTAAATGACAGATTAAATAATCTGCAGCCAGATGATCCCCAAATAGAAGTTGACTTAATATTAAGTGAAGATCATTTCTTATTAACTCTACTTTAGACATTATTTGCGGAACAATTTTTATATCTTTAGTTGAATGGATTATTTTTATAGCATGTAATCGAGGGACAAGAGATGCTGGTGGGTGGTGCACAGTTATTTCGGCTTCGGTCATAGTCTCATCTAAATCATCGATGATGTTTAAAAGAGGATCCAAAGATATAAAACCTATTATTTCAATAATTTGATTCAATTTTAAAGATATATCTTCGTATATCTACAATGTAAAAATATGTTGAAACAATTTGAAACATTTATATATCATTTAAAAATTATTATATATTAACCCCTTGTCCTACGCGCTAAGTCCTGATGGCGCGGGCCACAATCAACAAGAAAGTCGGTCACGCGTCAAACCATTTAACTGTTCATGTGCTCGAACTTGTGCAAATCGTATGCACCTTATGATATGAAGTACCACGAGTCAGGCTTATGTTTCTTGTTTTTGGCACAAATTTCTTACCATGAATCTCACTTGATATTGTAGGTTAAGGAGTTAATATTATATAAAATGAATCTTAAAAATTCATTAATAACCTTTACAATACAAGCTTTACCATCATCCATAGGGATTGGAAAATTTAATACATATTCCATTGAAAATATACTTTGTTGACTTGTATTACATCTTATTTCATCTATTTTCTCACTACTATTGGATGGTGACAGTTCTTCTTTCTTTTTTGTCAATTCCAAGTTTGTTGTCATAAAATTATCTTTATCTAAATTTTTTTTATTCATTGATCTTATATTTGAGTAATGTAATTGTTCATGTGTTTCCTTTGCCCAATTATTTAAACCAGGAGTTGAAATTACAATACACGTGTATCTTTCTGAACTTTGATTTTTCTCTGATTCCAATAAAATTGTTTCATGTGGCTACAAAATATACACAATGAAATTACAAGCTTTCAGACAAATAAAATATTAAATAGTTTTTCATTTAAAAATGTTCATATTAAAAGTAAAATAATATAGGCAATTTTATACATGAGATAAGCTATTCTTTTCACATCCCACACCTGAAACTGCCATGTATTTGCTATTGGCCCCACACTGAACATTTAAACAATTTAAATGCAGATAAAGATGTGTTAAAAGGCCTTGCGAAATAAAATTATTATGAAATAATCACCAAACATTTTGCGGAATCTGTGTACATTCCACATTTTAGTTGATATGTTTCAGTTTGGGTATTCTTGACTTCATACATTTGTAAATAATATTCAGGATTGTGCATATCTTGAATCATCCCTTTGAATCTGACTAACTGTCCATCTTTTAGTTTATGAACAGGAGTATTATTTAACAATGGAATTTCTTTCAAAACATCTAGATCTTCCAATATCAGATTACAATCCGATTTATTTGTGATAAAATATTCTCGTGTCCAATCCATTATTTTAGTTATGGCTAAAAAATAAATTTTATTATGTTTCGTACATTTTTGAATTAATTTCGTTTGATGGCGTTTTACAGTGACATGTAATAAATATTTCTTGATTTAAGTAAAGCATTTACTTACGAATCATTATCAGATATATATAAGAGTATTCACAAACTAATGTTGAAAAATCTTATCAAATAAGAAAATATACTGAGCTAATAAAAAATAAAAATTAAATTCTAACAAAAGTTAGATCGTTTGTTCTACCATTGACTAACAATAAGATAGACCGGACATCAAATGGGATTTCATGTCTCTGAAATACTGACTAGAAAAAAAACCACTGGTTTTTTAGCGCACTCTACGCTTAAACAATGGTGAATTAGAAAACTACGTCAAAGAAAATAATATAATGGTTAAGGAAAATTTTATCCGTACAGTGTTGTCATTTGTATATATCCAGACAGAAGACATAAAAGAAGTATACCTCGTCTGTCCCTCCAGATTTCATTGCAAGAAATCAATATCTAAAATTCCATTTTATATTATATATCTATGTATATACATATCCGTATTTTTTGATATTAATACACAATTTAAATATATAATAATTTATACTGTATTATTTTTAACTAATAATTTTTAACTAACTAAATTATATCTTAAAATTTTGATTGGTCATCGGCCATTATCAACCATATGTTTATTTAATTTGAATAGCCACCGATCGAGATGAAATTTGAAAGGCGTTATGAGGGATATAAAACTCCAAAGATATAAAATTTTGGCTTCGAGAATTCATGTTTTTAGAAGATAGATCTTTCAATTTTGCGAAATTTATTATATCTAAAATAAGAACAAGCAATTAGCAGCTAACATTAGGTTCGATGCAGATGCGCGATTTACTGTAAGTCATCACGTTCTTTTGAAAGAATAGAGATATAATATTCTTTTATCCTTCTTTTTATGAAACAAAAGAACTTTGTATCTCTGTTCTTCCAAAACATTTCCGCCCTCAGACTGCTCGTTTGAACCGAGTTTAACTCGACGTCTAGAATCAGAGACGGTCAACTTGTTTCCCACCATGGAACTGCTCACTCACAATCAGTTCGCTGGTTTCTCCACTATGAAAATTAAATTCTCACTCTGGTCTGTAGCGGACAATACAAATTACTTTACCTATCTTCCTTTAACTTTAGCAGTTACAGTAAGAAAACAATATATATATTTAATACGTGGTGGCCTTGACACTTTCAACGCAATGGAGGAATGTCTGCTACTTACAATTAGTCATTTCTAGTCTAGAATAAATAGAAATATCATTATATAGTCATTCAATGTAAAAATATATTTATAATTTCAATTATTCATTGATTACATAGAAGAATAATGATATGTACATTAATATGTAATATAATTATTTAATATAAATAACAGCAATATCTTATTCGTTTATGAATACAATTTGTGAATATAACAAAATGAAATAATAACAAAATTAGAGATAGATAAGATAATTGCTAATTGAAAAAACTAAATTTTGGTGCATATTTTATAATATACAAATTACATCTAATCAGGTCTCCAAAAGTTTAGATGTTATAATCTTCATCAATATTCACAAATTTTAACTCTCTCTGTTTCAGTTTAATATATTCTCCTCTTAAAGGAACATTCGAATCCATTGAAACTGCATTTCCAAATCCTTGTTCCGACAAATATATATTAGTTTTAATCAATGATGTTTCAGTTTTATAATTTTTGGATGAATTTTGACTTGTTTTGTCCTTTAATCTATTTTCCAAATTTTCCTCTATTTTCTTATTTTGTTTGAAACATTTTTCACGATTATTATCTTTAGTGGTAAAATTTTTTATTAAATATTTAGATTTGTTTGAGATATCACTTGTAACTTTGGCATTAGTTTTTCCTACTTTCGTAATAATTTCTCGTTTTTCACGTTCATGATTCTCTAAAATATCTCTATGAATTACTTGATCGTTTTCTTCGGACTTTTGTTCTACTAACAGATTTTCTACATTTGTTTGATTTCGCATTTTTAATGCAATTGGTAAGAAATATTCATGCTGTAATTTTTGCAACTTTGAAGTAAAGTTCCTTTGAAAATCAGAAATTATATTGGTAAAATTATCTCTATTAAAATTAGTTTCAGTATTGTTTAATTTCAAATCACTAGTGGAAATAGATCTTTCTAATACTCGTTTTGTTAGAACATTCAAGATAGGCCCTTTAAGTAATTCTCTTGAATTATTAGGCTTCATTCCTATGTCTTTAAGTTTTTGATTATTCAATTTGTGATCAAATAACATTTGATTTGTATTCAATTGAATGTTCTGCTTCTTATTTATATTTTCATTATTAAAAAAAGTTGAATCAAAAATTTTATTATTAATATTTTCTTTTTGATTTTTTGGAGATCCATTTTCTTTAGTATTACTTATTATTGTAAAGTTCATTTTTACTTGTGTAGCAGATGTTTCATTAAGAACTTTTAATTTACTTTTGTTTTTTTCATGCTCCTTTGTATCTTCTATAACTTTCTGCTTTTGTCTTTTGATTTTTTGTTTTTGTTCTTCCAAATCTTGTAATATTTCTTTTTGTTCCCTCATCATTTGCAGTTGTTCTTGTTTATGTTTTTCCAAAGTTTTTCTAAGTTTTTCGTGTCTCTCAGCAACTAAAATATTTGTAGTCTCTGATTTAACTAGTAAAGCAGCTAATTCTGATTCTTCTTTTTTAATTGGATCAGAATTTATAAAATTATGTTTTTCTTTCTTTTTTATAAGATTATTTTCTTCTTTATTTTTATTGGTTGTTTCTGTTGCTATTATATCATTTTTTATTAAATCTTGTGATTTTTTATGGAGATTTATATCCATCTTTTTTTCTACCATTTTTTTAATGACGGGAGTAAAAGTAACTAATATATTATTAACAAGCTTCTGTGTTTCTACCATTGATTTTTCTGTAACTACTATACGTTCAACTGGTATTGGCGGTTCTTGTCGTATATCATTTGTTTCCAATTTTAAAGAATTCTCAAGAGCATTTAAGCCTGATAATTGACTCATTTTCTCTGAAAATTATTAATGCAATGATTATTACTGTTACTATTATTGTTTCTATTACATTATCACTACCATTACTATTGTTATTAATATCATTATATATTTCAATATTAAATTAATAACAATATTTAATACCCTTAATATTTGAAAAAAATTCAGGATTGTTAGGAACATTTGCTATTGCGTTAATATTTTTATCCAAGTTTGATGATATACTATTTATTTGATTAGAAGGCTTGTTTGTCGATGTCAGTATCTTTATATTAGTAGATTCTTCCAGAGCATACAAATTTGCATATGTACTCAAAATCATAATACAAATACCAATAAATAAGATTACCTAAAAATATAATATCAACAAAATTAGGAAATAATTAAGAAATAATATAAGTTATATATTTGTTTAATAATCTCACTTGAGCTAATAATCTCTCATTAGTGTGTTTCGTACTGATAGATATAAAAAATATTGCTGGAAATATCAAACAAATCATTACACCAATAGTAGATCCTACCAAACCAAGAACAAATTCAATATTTGGTATTAGAATGCCAGTTATTAGAGAAACAGCTACAATTATGATGGTAAGGCATCTAAATCTTATTTCTGGTAAATAATTTATGGAGGATTCATGAGCGTACACCTATGAGAAGGAATATGTAAAAATTAAATTTATTATCTTATTGTTATAATATACTATCAAAATTAATACAAACCCTACGAAATAAGAGAGAATTTAGACTTGCGCGACATGGAAATATGACTAGAGGAAAACTAAATGCAATGGAAAATACAAATCCCATCTTGATCATTTCAGACGACAAACTGGGTTCAAAGCTCATTAATATATTACCTATAAATTTAATAATAAATGAAATGAAAATATATAATTCGATATAACTATATAATTCAAAATTTAATAAATACCTGTAAATGGCTGTGTGCAAAATGCAATATATCCAAAAAATCCAACACAAAGATATACAATAGTACATATATTTAATGCGCCATGTACAACTTCGTTCATTTTCTCTAAAGACACATTTGGTATAGTTTCATAGATTTCAAACAGTTGAGTTTGACAGAATAAAGCCATAGAAAATATAGGTATGCATTGAAGTATCCCAGATGGTCTCCAATAATATACATGGTCATGCCAATCTCCAGCAAAAATGTGTTGCATAGATTCTATTATTATCTATAAAAAAAAATAAAAAGCTTCTAATTAATATTGAAGTGTTTTTATTACGAATAAAATGAATTGAAATTTATTCACCTTTAATACAAGACAAAGATAGAAGATAATTGTAGCAGTACAAAGAGTAGACAAACTGTCAATATTTCTAAGTAATCCCAATGGCAAAACTATGAAAATGCTTGTCGTTACAAGTAAGCTGGTTCTAATATCCTCTGGGTTTTTATCTATTACTTTTTTTACAATTTGTGGTCCTAAATCACCCATAACAACAAAGAAAGCGATACATGTTCCCACAAGAAATCCAATAATAAATAATTCCACCAAAAACTTGCCCATATGACCAAATGCATGAAAAGCCAAAAGTTCAAAATTTCGTCTTCTAGACATCACAGCTGATTTAATAAGAAAGTGACAAGCAAGTCTAGATAGAATACTGCTCAATATCAAAACTACAATAGCTAAAATAATGCCGCATTGCTTGAAACAAAATGGCATTGCAAGAACGCTTACTCCAATGATACTGTTTGCAAGAGTCATAATATATGACATTTGGGAAATCATTTTGGCTGCTTTTATATTTATTTTTTTTCAGTAAAACTATCCAGTTTATAATATTACGTATAATGGAATTTGTAAGGATATTAGTTTCTTAAAATCTTCAAAATTGTTTTTATTTATTAATTATTATTTCTTTGAATTAATATCTTCAGTAAATAGGAACGTTGTAATATTTAATATTTGATGCCTTCATGAGTAAACGAATTGTTCTTGCATTCTTTTCAAATGTTTTCAAAATACAAACTGTCCTGATTATGAGGTTAGATTTATGATTCCGTGAACTAGTAGTACATAATAAACAGTATTATATGTAAAATAAATAATGCAATTTATTATCATGTTGGACGTATCAAAACCGTGATTTGAATGTCACGCTTTTGATAAAACAATTTTTAATGACCGTTGAAAAATACCGCCGAACTTTCGATTGGTCTCTCACAACTACCACCATTTTGACTCAAGGTATGCTTCAATTATATTAATCTATGATACGAAAAAGTAAATTCATCAATATAATAGATTTCTTTATTTTTTATTATAAATATTTAAAAACATTCGTATTATTCATACTTCGGTATAGTATACAGCATATACTTTTATACATATATACTTATCATACCTATCTCAAATCGACTCAAATGTACGCAAATATTATATCGAATTTATCCTTATGTTGTGGGTACTTAATTACAATAAGGGTAAGTGTTTAATTACAATAAAGGTATGCTTAATTACAACTAGATAAATCGACATATTTTCTTTAATTATTTATCTGGCATCGTGCAAGTAGTCGAACCTAATTCGTTTTTACGAATATTTTCGAGTTGCAAAAAATGTTATTTTTTGTATTAAAAAAATTAATACATTTATACTCTCGTGCAAGTATGAAAATAAAATGGTTAAAAGCTTTGAAATGGTTGAATAGCTTTTATATGTTACGAAATTCTTCTTTTGAATGAGAGTATTTTTATAGCCCCAATTTATAGATAAAAGTCGACTTAGTTACAAACGTTCAATTTTTAATATTATTTATATTTAACTTATGATTAAATTCTACATTATGTTCGAATTCAATCTGTTCATTGACTGTTCTATTTCTTTCATACTTTCTGTTTCACTGACCATTCAATTTTTCACATATAAAATAAGATATTTTATACATCAAAAGTAATACCGTTATGTCATTATTACGTAGTATTGCATGTAGGACATTATTTAAATCTGATTTTAAGTTATGTACAAGAATAGGAAGTAAAAAGATGTGTTAATTCATAATTATCTAGCCCGTTGTACAATCTCATTTCCTTTCAATTATAAAAATCACACTTATTAAATGATTTAATTAAGATTACGCTATGAGTAATGGATAAGCAGATAAAAAACCACACTCATCCAAAACATAATATGAATATTTATATATTTTTGCACGATTCATCAAAATGTGTCACTTACAAAAATTAGATATCTTGATAAGCTGCCTATATCTTCTGATCTTAGTGAAAATTTCAACTCTTATAAAAAATTTAATTTTCTTTGTACATTTAAGATATCTATTTGTCTTATTTGACTAGTTACATTTATTGATTCTAAATGAATATGAAGGCTTTAATCAGATCATAAGATTTGACTGATTATTCAAGATACCGTTTATCGCAAAATTTTTAAAATATTTCAAAAAACTAATTGTTCTATAACTTTGACAATTTCGGCTAACGTTTATAAATTTAATGAAATAACAATTGAAATTACTGAGATTTCATCATATCAATTGTATGCTTGAACATGTATATAAATGATAATGTCTCTTACCTCAAATTTAATCAGTACATATATAAATAGATTCCTTTTTCTATTGAAGTACTCATACAGTTTTGAATCAAACAATAAAAAAGATATTGTTTAACATAGCGTATCAAACTCGAGGTAATAGACATCTATAACTACATGTTTGACTTAAGTTACCTATACTGATTTATTCTTGATTTAAATAAGAACTTTCTTTTTTCAAAAACAAATACCATTTATCAGGGATTCGCACTACCATCTTTCTTCGTTTCTTCATTTGTAACATTTGTTTTTTCATCTTTTTCGTTTTCTATAAAATATGTTTACTTATTACATTATTATAATGAAAATAGAGACAAAAATGTGTTTAAAATTAGAATTACATACCTTTTGGTTCCGATTTTATGTCCTCTTCTTTTTTTAGATCACTTTCTATACCTTCTTGTCCTTTTTCTAAACGAGGTCGTTTTCTAGAACCCTTTTAAATAAAAAAAATTGCAACTTACATATAAAAATATTTACTATAGATGAAACATACATAGTACCTACGAAATGAAACAAGAAAATACTTCTATTTGCGAATAATAACGGTTGTTACCTTAAATGATCTATTATCTCTTCGTCCCCCTTCTCCTTCATCCTCACTATCGCTATATTCATTTTCGTGTTGTATCCTTTTGTCTAAATCTCGTTGTGGTAACCTTTCGTCTGGGTTTATTTTTTCCTCAGCTTCTGAATCTTCAATGACTGCACCATCTTCTGGAATTGGTTGGACTTGTACACCCGGTGCATGAGGCAACATTCTTAAATTTTCAAATAATCTAGTCCTGTAAAGAATATAGGTTATGTGGAATATGATAAAAAAGAAAAAAAAAGTAGTCATTATTTTTGGGATAAAACGTACTTAATTTTTTCAAGATATTCTGGAGTATTTTGATTTGCCATGTTCGAAGGACTAATGTGCAATTTAAAATCAGGACCAAAATATTCAAAGTAATCATTATAAGGTAATTCATTTGCAATTTCAGAACCAAGAGCTACTGAAGTTTCGTACGTCCAACATCTAGATACATTCCTAATTGTATATCCACCACCACCAACCATTAAGAAAGGTAGATTATATTTTTTTACAAATTCGACACATTTCCCATGACCCCTCACTGTTAAATTGAAACAGCCTAATCGATCCCCTGTAAATAACATGCATTAATTTAAATTTTATTTTAATTTCTTCACATGACTTTACAAAATGATATTCACCTGTCAGTGAATCGGCACCACATTGTAGAACTACAGCAGAAGGCTGGAAAGTTTCCATTACCTTTGAAATAATAGGTACGAAAATTGATTCATAGCTTTCATCATCCATACCGTCTCTTAATGGTATGTTGACTGCATAATATTTTCCCTATAATAAAAATTCTAAGTTATAAAATTTATATTAAAATTATAATAATATAAAATTTCAAAATAGAAGTGTATAAAATCTATATTGTTAGCAAAAGCTTTTACCTTTCCTGCACCAATATCGCGTAGATCGCCAGTACCAGGAAAATATTCACCATATTTATGGAATGAAACTGTCATCACTCTATCTGTGGTATAAAAAGCTTCTTCTACGCCATCTCCATGATGAACATCAATATCAATATATAAAACTCTTTGATGATATTTGAGCAATTCTAATATTCCTAGTACAATGTCGTTTACATAACAAAAACCAGATGCTTCACTTTTTTTGGCATGATGTAAACCACCACCCCAATTTATGCAAATTTCTGAAGCCTGTTTGTTAAGTTTCACAGCAGCAGCTACAGAACCTCCAGCTGATAATTGACAAAATTCATATAAACCATCAAAAACAGGGCAATCTTCTCCAACATTAACTAAAAGAAAAAAGAATATTAAATATAGACATAATTATGAAATGTAATTCATATTTTAATTGAATATACAAAAATTAAATCTATGGTCTTACATCGTTGCATTTGTTTATTATATTCTGACATATTATCAGGTCTTATGGATCTCAAAAACCTAATATAATCATCACTGTGGAATTTTGTCATTTCATCTGCTGTAGCTTTGTGTGGACGCTGAACAAAAAAAAAAGAGAAAATAAAAGAAATAAAAAAGGAAACTTATTTTAAAAATTTATATAATAATTGTACATTGCTATAAATCATATGTAAGTACTAAATATTATAAATAAAAAAATATAATTAAATTAATAATTCTTACATATATTTCCATCTTCCTATAAAGACCATAATTCAAAAGTAAATTATGTGTCATTCTTATACGATGTGGCTTCATAGGATGTCCTTGTCCATAATAATAATTTCCAATATCACCTAAAATATAATTTGCTCTTTTATTGATTCTGCTAATTGATAAATATTTAAGAAAAAATGAAAAAATTATGTTAAAAATTCGTAAATATATTAATACAAGCTAGCTTTAATTCTATATGTATATAAATATATGTAGATTGTTTCCAGTGATACAGACAACTGTGATACACTTGAGAATCTCTCATATAATTTGTACGGAAAAGATATTATCATTTATCTATTTGACCGAAATTGCACGATCTTTTCTAAATTCATTAAAAGGATTAATTAAATCAACAATTTTATACAATTGCAGACAGATTAATATCTTTTTTAAGCTTTTTTCAATTATAACCTTCAATTAATTTTTAACTTTAAAAAAATCTTTAAAAAATACCCTTTCCATTTAAAAAAACACTAACAATTGGTCAAATGAATTTAAAAAATATATAGATGTAAAAGATAATTATAATAATAATAACATTTATAATTTTGATTCTTTCACGTTGACTGTATGTTGTTAATCATTTATGTATAAAGAAAATGAATCAAAATGTTGACTTTAAAAATTAAAAAATAATTTAAAAAACTACATATATATTCAAGAAGAATATTATCAAATGTTGAACGAACGATAAAACGAACGAGCGAAAAGCCGACGCTCTTTCTTGGCTGAAGTAAGGTAACATGGAGCGATATTCGTGAATTTTTCGTTTTAACGCATCTGAAACCGTGCAAGTAATCGAAGAAAAGATAAGAAAAATCGAATATTATGTAAGAAAAACATTCTCTAGATAACTAAATAAATGTATTGAAATAAAATTATGCTAAAAAAAGTAGATAAACGTAAAATAAATGTATCATACATGATCCAAGCGTGGATAGCACATACACATTTTGACAATCTCTTTGTACATGTATGATATTTTCGCGGGATACTTAGATTATATTGAAATTTTTAAACTTTTTCACTCACTATCATAATAGTAGCAGACACGCTTCTTGCTATGTGGCAATGTCGACATTTTCACCGATTTTCTTTTGGTTAATTGTAAAATATTTGATATGAATTAAACGCAGACCGCAGAGTATGACAAAACCAATCGACAAGTCAGAGCGTCGGAGCGTCACTGAAGCTTTGAACTACGCGTGCGCATTATATATCTAAGCTTTCAATTTATTTCATAGATGGCGGTTTTATCATAAATGAACTTAACCATAAAATAAATAATATTAAGAATAGATACATTATTAATTATAAATTAACAAGATTATATTACGATTATTAAAACTTATTTCACTGAATCACACAAAGATTACATACACCACTGAAGTATCAAAAATAAAAAATTACCATTACTATTATATATAATATATATAATATGTATAATATGTAAGATTAATAAATTATACATAAATAATATATATAAATATATATATATATGTACCAAAGTTAGGTAGATCGCAGATAGCAATGATGTGTATGCGGTATGACTTGTGAGGAGCTCTTTATAATTAGTTCTATAATTAACGTAATAAAATCGTCGAAAATGCAAATTCTTGTAATTATGTAGCAAAATAGAAATATATATAACTTTTATTGTTTTTGTTATATTACAAACAAACAAAAATATTAAAATATATATATATATATAAGTGTGTATAAATATATGTAAATTTTAATAATTTATAAATAATAATAATAAATAGATAATATTTAAATGTATAAATTCCATCGAATAAATTTAAATATATCAGTTTATTTTATTTTAATAAATATTTCATTTTATTGAAATACAAGAAATTATATAATTGTGTACAAATAGTACAAAGTTTTTATTTTTTATTATTTTATTTAAGCCAACTTCATCCGAAACAACAATCAGTTCAGATTCAAAATCACAAACGAGATATATGAATAGACTTTCTTATCGGATTTCGTGTGCCATACTTTTATTTTTTAATGTATTCTGTTTGAAAACGGTGAATTGGAGAAACACACTGAATAAAACGATCGAAGTTGATCAAATAGCACTATTCGGACATTATGTCTGAAATTTATGTCAAATTTTTAACATCGAAACGTGAATTTAGTAAAAAATGAAATTCTACTATATTTAAAAAAGTGCTTTCATCCATAATTTACGGATTCACAATCGATTTTTACAGTATATTAAAATTCCGAAGTCATTAATACATGGTTTTCAATATAAATAATTTATGCTTTGTAAAATATTCTTAAAAACAACTTTTAACTAATTACTTTTCCAATTATTTTAACTAACTAAGATATTCCAATTATTTTCAACTATTTAAAATTATTTTTTACGTAGGTCTAAGTCAGTTGATCATGATTTATAATCGTAAAATGTAATTTCTTCGTTTATTTATTTATATTACATACTCAAATTTGTGTTAAGTTTTTGTAAACAAATTTGTGTTTAAGTTGCATAGTACATATATACACGTATAGATACATACATATATGAATATGTATAAAATAAATTTAAGACATATATGTATAGAAATAAATCTTTTATTTTGAAGTGTCTGATACAGAATTTTAGATGCTTTACTAAATAGATAAATGTTTACTAAATCAGTAAAGAAAATTTTAAAAATTATATTAGACGAAAAAGCGCAATTTTTGTACTATTTTTATTTGTTCGAAGAATGTTATATTTTGCGATGCAATTACGTCAAAAAAAAATATACGAACATTGTATTTCAATGCAATTATTACAATATTAGATAAAGAGAAATAGCATCGAAAGAAATCTATTATTTAAGAAAAGTATACCACAAAAGGCATCTATTTGGCTGAATAAAATAGTATCGATTTTGGCAGTATAAATTTCAGCATTCCAAACTAATCAATTCTAATATGAATATTGATCTACAATCATGAAAAATTACAATGTTATCATGTGTCCTAAATTAATCGAGGCAATAAGAATTATTATTTAGAATAATTTGTTACGTGTCAATTATGTCGAAAAAGGTTTAAATAACTTATGTTGCATTTAAAAAAACTCATCGTATGAATTATTTAACTTTCTCATTTAAAGTTCTTTTTCTCTTTGATGGATTTTTATGATAAAAGAGCGAGTTCAATGATCTGTATAATAAGCATGAATCTCAAAATTAGAAATGTAAATGTACCATTTACTTGTTGAAAACTTTCTCCCAAAATAAACGCGTAAATATTAAGTTTTTGCAAATGAAATGGCCGAATTCTATAAAGTACAAAACTTATAATTTTCAGTCAGCTTACAGACAGTGTACCAGTATCAGATATACAAGCGAAGAGCAGATGATTCTACGTATAAAATAAATTGAAAGTGAAGAATGAAATTTCTTTATTCGAGGCTTTATTTTCGGCAAAATCGAGTTTGAAAAATTTATCGAATACACATGTATGAAGGCAATTTTTAACGAAACATATTCATTTTTTTTGAAAATAAAATTTCAAATGAAAAATTTTTATTCAACATTTTCGAATCATCCCCTCCTCGATTGTATGTTCGACATTGGAATATCTTGCATATTTCTTAAACATAAAATCAAATTAAAATATACCATATTTAATATATTTTGACCATTGTTGTATAATATTATACATATGTATAATAATTATATCATATATAAAATTCTAATTTTTCTTCACAATAATCAAAATGTACAATTATTATTAATAATTATTATAATTAAAATTTTGTAATAATTGTTGATAGATCGAACTTTTTGAAACTAGTATTAATGTTTACTAAATTACACTGAAATTTAAAAAAATGAATCTTTTAAATGTATTTGAATTCAATGTTAATTCATAAATCATTTTGACGTACAACCTACGTTTTTAATTAAAAAAATTAATAAAACGCCAATTATTTTATGTTTGATTAGCTTTAAGCTTTGAATTAAAATAAAATAAGTAAATTAACAATTCTATTATAATAATAATAACTATTATTATAAATATTACTGAATAGTGCTATTAGTCACTAAATTTTGATTAATTTTATATGTTTGTGAAATCGGATGACATCTCATATGCAACAAGCTAATATTTATAAACATTCATGATAAAATTTGTTTAAAACTGCAGTGACATCATTTCACTAATTATAAGTATAATACTGTATTTCAGTATTTATAAGTTTAATACTGTAGAATAGTTCAAAAAATAAATTAACAATGGTACAGCTATATTTTCAGTGAATTATATATAAAAAGTACGCTAAAAACTCGTAAAAAATGAAATACAGAGATACTGTAATTTTAAAGTTCTTGACAAATTTCATAACAAACAAATATTGGTAAAATTGGTAAACTGTAAACATTTATATTAAGAACAAAATTATTTAGTGATGAATTTTTATATAAATCATGAAGGACACGTTATAATTGTTGCAAGAATGTTATACGTCATAAAATATATCAATAGTATTAGTACTCATTTTACACAATTTTAAGAAATATTCTTCAATAACTATTTCTGAACGATAAATTAATCAAAATGGATCAATTACTTGGTTCCTACATTCGCCGAATCGAAATTTCATTTTGTAAGGTATTAATCTTTTCGCTATATATATATATATAAACTGTACATATGTTTGTAAAAATGTTTGTTCTGAAAACATGTAAAGAAATAAATGATGAAAAGTTATATATTCCGAAAGAAAATTTTTAAAGTGTAGATTCAAAAGTTAGATTTTGTTGATTTTGTGTTTCAGATTCTATTTAAATTTATACAGATTATTGAATTCGTCTTTTTATCGAGTACAATGCATCATTAAAAATTTGTATTGACTCATGTCACGTATATTATAATCAAACGAATATGTATAAATAAATGTATATCAAAAAATAGAAATGTTTGTACTCATTACAACGAGCAGGATGTCTCTCCCTTGTCAAAGAAGGAAAAATTTATTTAATATCAATTCGAAACTTGCAAATGCACTACAAATTAAAAATAAAATCTTGGTGGAGATGACATTATTTATAGAATGATCTGACAATTCTTTATTGAACAGTGATTATGATGGTTATGACGATAATAATGATGATATACAAAACAAAAAGATACATAAAAGATATAAGCGCACAGAATGGACAAAAAAATTGGTAATTATGAAAGTAAAAAATAAATATCGAGGGAAAATAAGAAAAATATTGAATATAAAACTAGAACAATGGTGTAATTTTGCTACAATAAACAATATCGGTCTAACATAAAGTCTACACATGCATATACGATAAATGTATTTTTAATAAGTAATATTTTAGTAAGTAAATAGTTGAAAATCATGTATTTTCGCAGAAACTTTGCAATGAAATCAATATTCGTTACGGTTAATCTCTGTAATATATGTGAAGATGTTTTAATTTGATATTTGCATAAAAAAATATCAAAAGTATTTTCTCTCTATTTTGAAAAAAAATCAAATGAAAAAATTCTTTCCATTTTGAGAAGAGTAATGAATCTCAACATTATTGCATAATTACAAATAGGTAAAGAACGAATAACTAATTATATGATTTACAATACACACGAATGTGCGCTACATTATTACAATTCGTTCGTTTTGTTTAATGTTGGAAAAAAGCACATGATAACATTCGTTAAGTAACGATATCAAATATCAAAGAAAAAACGAAATGATAACGATATTTTCTTCATCTTTTCCCTTTTCTTCTTCTCTTATATTTTGTTGTTGTTGTTGTTATTATTATTAATATTATTGTTGTTACTATTACTGTTATTATTATATCGGTATTTTTGAAAGCACCGATCGAAATAAATCGCTATTACGATTAAAAAGTGTTGAAGATTTCGGGATCGAAATCGGCGGGGAACGAAAGAATTTAAGGAACGCATTCATCGGACACAAGACAAGGCGAAAAACATCAAAAGGACATCAAAGGTTGTTACGATTCGCACATGTATCTTTCTAATCTAAAATATATTTCTTTACCAAAAAAAAAAAGGCTAGAAAAGTAAATGCGTGGATTCCTTGTTTTTCTTTTTGTATTTGTCCGTTTGTTTCATAGGGAAAAGAATTTGAGGAAGGTTTGCGGAGGAATCGGAACATGAAGAGACGCTCGATCGACGTCCGCTAATTTC